GGTGGGCAGGTCTGTGCTTGGGGGCCCCTCTGAGGACTGGCCTTGGCTCATGGGCCTCCCCCTCTGGCTGCGCCCTTCTTCTGGTCCCCTAGGGACCAACACTCACCTCAAGGTCCAGCCTGGTGGCTCCCTGCCTCCCGCCCGCTGGTGCAGCATCTCGTTCCCTGTCTTGCCTTGGAGGCAGGCTGCACACATCGGGTGCTGGTTTCTGAACCGTCAGCCCCCCAGTTTCTCTCGGGAAAATATTCCACAACTTCCACCCCACTGCTCATGCGTTTCCCGGGGACCTCCGCGAGGGGCCGGCCGGTGGGCATGGCCCTCCCTGCTTGGAGTGGAGGTCCGAGCTACCAGAAGCTTCCAAAGGCCCCAGAACAGAGCTGTTCTCTGGAGAGGGGTGTTTCTGAGCAAGGGCTGGGGAGCCACAAGGCTGGAGTCTGAACTCCAGCTCTGCTGCTAACTGGCCATAGGAGCCCAAGCCAATCATTTCTCTGAGCCACAGCTTTGAGCTGGGACACAGGCAGAGCTGCTGTGGAGACCAGTGAGGTCACTGACTGAGCACTCCACCCAGGGCCTGGCATTGGGGGAGCAGTGAGTAAGCCCCTTCGACCACCCTCGGCCTGCAGAGAATGGAGGGAACAGAACCGTGGCCCAGGGCGGTGATGCAGTTCGCCCATGGAGATGCAGGGCACAGATTCTGACTGTCGTGTGCAGGCCAAAGACATCAGAGCAGACGCCCCGCAGGCTGCTCTGTCTCTGGGCAGCACCACCTACAACGTGAGTGCCGCTCTGCCCAGTTCTGCGGGGACCTGAGGCCGGGGCCTGCTCACTGTCACCGCCAGGGGCGGCACTGGGATCTCCACTCCACAGGTGGAAACGGAGGCACAGTGGCCCAGGGAAGAGGCCGGGCCACCCGACTGCCATCACAGGGCTTCCAGCAGGTTTGAGGTAATGCTGAAGACCTGCTGGGACGAGTGGCAGGCCTAGGGGTGTGCGCGGGAGGATGGGGCAGACTCGTGGGCCTGAGGGACCACGGACTCTAGCCACAGGCAGTCTAGCTTGAGAGAAGCAGCAAGCTTGGGGCTCCCCCCAGCTTAGAAGGAGCAGGGGTGTGGCACTAACTGTCCAATGCCCTGACCAAATGACCACAATTGCATCACCTTTTTATGTAACTGAGACTAATAAGGGGATTTTAAAATATTCAAACAGTATGACACTCAAAGTCAAGTTTCACCATACTTCAAGGTGATAACTCAAACTGTAAACCAAACTGCAGTGAACATAAGTAACAATCTTACATGACTTTTATTTAATAAAACCACATATTTACAATCCAAAAAGTCCTAGTTTGATACACTTTACTAAATAAAATTAAAGGTTAACTGTACAAGCAATTAAAACATGATATTGTAGCAAGTGTCATCAGGAGTCTTTTATCAGCAAACTATTTAAAATAGTCAAAAAACTGAGCAGTTAAAAAGTACCTTTTGAAGTGAACATTTTTCCAGATGGGATTTTGATGACTGGTGGGGACACCACTTTCAACCCTAAAAGTGCCAGCTGCCCGGAGTCCTGAACCAGAAGACCCAGGCTCTGAAAACCAACGGTGTGGGAAGGGCAGAGGGCCACCCCCTTGGGGGCAGCATTTCAATTTGTTTCCAGTTTTACTAAACGGGATTGTCAAGCAGAGCAGCACAGCCCTGTGCAGGCCGGCGGCCCTCTGCCCTCCGTGGAAAGGGGCGAGGTGACCCCAGACGGGGACTCAGACCTTCCCAGCCTCTGAAGTGGACGTATCGAACCAGCTAGGTCTCGTGTGGCCCCTGAACAGGTCACGAGAACCTCTTCTGAACTGAAGACTTGGAGGTTTTCCAGACTGGCCTGGAATCCTATTCGAAAACTGAATGCATACATGGTGCTGCCCACGAGGTTTGTATCAAACTGACAACAGCGTTGAGGCTAGGGTCTGACCACCCCGGGGTCCCAAGAATGCTTTCTGGAGGCCTGCCCGCCGCCCTGTCCCCTTGCTTTCTGTCACCACTTAAGGAACATCTTTATGTACAGTAAGAAAATATATACATCTTTCAGGAACAGAAAGCCCACATCACGGAATAAAACTGAGTACATCCGTGAGCAACAGCGGAAGGGCCTCGGCCCGTGATGTCGGGGAACGGCTGCGTCTAGAAGGCTGCCGAGAGCTCGGTGGAGACAGACGCCTCCTCCAAGACGTCGGGCAAGTCAGCATTTAAAGGCTGAGGCAGAAAGTGGTACACGTGCTCAGCTCCGCCACCTCCTGGAAGGTTCAGTCAGGAACAGGAGGGGAAAAAACAATACGGGGCACGAGGACTGCCACTGGCTTGGGACTTGCTCTGCACCTGAAGTGTCATCAGCAGACATGGCAGATATAGAAAACCTACAAAAATAACGCCACAGTTAGGCTCTGCCGCCAGCCCGCATCTCCTTGCTGCACTATGCTCAGAGCTGGGGCTCCCGGGGTCAGAAACGAGGACAGCCACGGGCACTCCGGGGGTTGGGGGTGTGTGGCTGAGGCGGGCTGCAGGGTGGCAGGCCCCGCCAGCACTCGCTGCAGACAGGAGACGCCCTTGAGCCTGGCCCGCCGAGCCCTCCCAGAGACCAGCACACTAACGCAGCAGCACATGGCAACCCGTTTCCATAGAGATCTGCCTGCCCTCTGGACTCCTCTGCAAAAAGTGTTCATTTCTTAGAATTTGGATAACCAAAGTTCTTACTACGAAGTTCTCCAAATTAGTCAAGAAAAAGCTACAACAAAAAGGCTGCTAATGAACCTGGGGGAAAGCAGCTGCGACGGGGACAGGCTGACGGTTCGGATGCTGAGCGTTCTGGCCAGGCCGTCTGGGCTGCCGGGTGGGTGCTGCTCAGCCCTGACAGCCATCTACCTTTGCGTTAAACGCGTGAGGCGGGATGACTGCACGCAGGACTGCACCTGCCATCAGGTGACAGAGAGGAGCAAGCTGTCACAGCCAGGGAGCAGCGGCCCCGCGCCCGCCCGCCCCCAGCCTCCATAGAAACGACAGGCTGCAGGAGCGGGCACGTCTCAACATCCTCTCCCCTCCCCTCTGCTTAAAGGGAGGCTGTCTCCATTCTGTTCTCCACCAGCTTTAAGCCCGTCTTCACTGTCACAGGCGTCCGTGAGCAGCTCTTCCTGCTCCAGCTCGCATTACTCAGCAAATGTGGGAGCAATCTCTGGGAGGGCAGGCTGCCCGCAGGAGTCTAGGCGTGCATTTTCAGCCCTCGTGCTGTAATTTTGTCAAGGCAATATGGTAAAAGGTCACCCTGAAGGTCAGACCGTGTCCGGGGAGCCCGAGCGCACTCGCCAGGATTGAGAGCCTGTCGTCCTGTAATGCTATCTTTGGTAGATGGGCTTCAAAAACAAGACCTCCGGCTCAGGAAAGATTATCTTGGTAACTAAACCAGCAATCCCTTTCTTACTAAAATATGTAAATATGAGCCAATAACATCTCTGAGGTCTCCAAACAACATTTCTCATGCACCCCGGCTATGAAAGATTGTAATGTACTTTCCAGTAGTTGACATAAAAGCATTACAATTTAATTAACTTTTGCTGATGAGGGGAGGGGATTAGCCACTGCCCTATTTTTAAACCATGCAGAATATGCAGTGGTGACCACGGTCAATATTAGGCCATCATCCCACTGAGCTTCTTAAGGCTGAGCCTTGGTTTAATTCTTTAAAAGTTTTTGTTGTTGTTCTATTTTGTTTAAGGCCAACTCCAGTACTAGGAATCAAACATGGAACAGCCCCTGTTCTTCTGAGCCGCCTGCGTGTCTGCCTGCGGCACCACAGGCACCGCCTGGAGCCGTGCTTCAGCACCGAGCGCAAGTCCGCCTGCCGCCTCAGTGTCTGAGAGACGGGCTTCCTTTCTCCACGTCCCGGCTGTCCCTCTGCAGTGCGGTCAGTACCTGGGGACACAGGGAGACAGGGGTGGGCGACCTCAGCACACGCCGAACACAGATCCCGACCGGTGTGACAGGAACCGCAGCAGCCCCGCGCCTGCCTCCCCACCTGCCCCTGCTCTGGTCCATCTTCCACACCTGCCTCCACTCACCTTCCAACATGGAAGCCTAACCACGCCGTCTGGGCTCGTGCCCCACAGCCACTCCCCACCGGCCCCCAGGTGCCAGTGTCGAGGCGGGGCTCCCAGGCTCCTCTCCTTGCGCAGTCTGGCTCCGGCCCCTGCGCTCGCCACCACCAATGCCGGGCTTCCCACTCTGGGACGCCAACCTGCCCTCCCGGGCTCCCGCTGACCTGCCCCCTCTCTTCGCCAGCAAACCATGCGCCCTTTTCAGGCCTGAGAGCTATCAGCTCTTCCCACGCCTTCCTGAGCTTCCCCAGGGTGACTTCAGCTCCCTCCTCTCTGCAGTCTCAGCTTCTGGCTAACACCTTTATTTTTCTAAATATCACATTCCACTGTGATTGCCTACCAGCCGCAGTGACAACAACAGGCCGCATTTACTGCACGCCCACTCCGGCCCAGTTGAGCGCTCCCAGGGCACCTCCGGCACAGCAGCTGTTTAATCCATGCAACGCTGTATGTCACCTGAGCAACAGACACTCAGACAAGTGACTTGCTAAAAGCCAAACAGCTTGTATGGATTCAAACTCAGATTTGTTTGATTTTAAAACCAAGGGCATCTTTGCAGCACCAGTGCTAAACTACTTAGGTCAGGCGCTATGCCACGTTGACTGAATTACAAATTACAAGCTATAAAGCAGAAACATTTTATGTGGGCTTCAAATAAATTGCACAGGGGGGATAACAGTAGATAAAAGCCCCCCCACCTCTAGGTAAATGGGACTGCCGACCAAGCATAAACGTCTACCTGTTTTATAAAGTTCACCAGAGTTTTAACCTTAAGTACAGCATTCAAGAGAAATGGGCAAGGACCACAACTCCCGTGGGACCTGGAACTGAATAAACTCACTGATGCCCGCCCTCAGGCCGACCCCTATTACTATCCCACTACTGGAGAATGTCCTACTATTTAATAACCTCTGATCTGGTGTTAACCAGTAATCTTCACCTAAAATGCAAGAAGCTAAATGACAGATGTGGGCTCAACCCTTCCCTCTTTGCGTGTTTCTGTGGGTGTGCGAGTGGGGGGACGGAGGGAAGGACCGGTGAAGAACAAAGGAAGATCAGCAGGCCTGTGACCACACAAGTTGGAAAGTCAAGGGAGTAACAGTTCTGTGCTGAATGAAGGCTATCAGCAACAGCCCTGGCTTCCTGCAGCCATTTCAGAAAACCGCTCTAAGTGACTGGCCTGCAGGAGACTCCACGCATACACTTACACACAGGCCAGCTTCGTGGGCATCAAGCCCATGCATTCGGAGGGGCCCTACTGAGCCTAATGCTCTGTAGTCACCATCCTGGAATTCTCCATACTAACTCTGAACACGTGGCCCCAGAGTTTCGTTTCGCATTGCGTGTTTGTTTCTTAATCAGAGAAAGGCTCTTCTTTCACCAGATCCCTGATAATTATATAGCCAGTCCTGCTCACACACGAGCTCAGTGCATTTTTTAATGGTTTTCCTGGTATATAATTCACATAACATGTAATTTACCCATTTAAAGTGTACAATTCATTGCTTCTTAGTATATTCACAGACGTGTGCAAACCTCACCACAGTCCATTTTAGAACATTTTCATCACCTCAAGAAGTAACCCCGTATCCTTTGGCTACCACAGCCCTGTCCCCACCTCGTCCACTCCATTGGCAACCACTAATCTACTTCCTGTCTCTACCGAGCTCCCTGTTCTGCAACTGAATGTGAACGGAATCAAATAGTCTTTCATGTCTGGCTTTTTCACATAATATAATGCTTCCAAGGTTCATCCATACTGTAGCAAGTGTCGGTACTTCACTCCTTTTTATAAACATTGTATTTATTTTAGAAATGCTACTGATAACCCCCTAAGCACAAAATAGTGCCCCCCCACGTGAAACCAGGGGAGCGTTTCACAGACTGACCCACAGTCCCTCCACAGCAGCTGCGCTCCTTCCCCAAAGACCCAGACAGGAAGGGAGTCCGCCAGCCACAGAGTGCGTCAGACCTGGGGACAGGGGGGAAGGGAATGGCCAGCGCAGGGGGCCGAACGAGGGGCCCAGGTGAGAGGGGAAACTCTCTGGTTTAATACATAAACAGGCACTGAACTTGTACACTTTTAAAAAACGGTGAATTTTATGGTATGTAAACTAATAAAGCTGTTATAAAAATAAGCTGCTGGCTAAGATCAAAGGGAAATAGTCTGATAACCTACGAAGTAATGTGCCCAAACATAAAAACTGGGAACCCGATCAAGCCTTGAGATCTAACTGCCGATTTACAGGACATGCGGAATAGAAAGACCACATTAAACACACCGCAGGGATCTAACCAGCAAAATCCAGACTGTGGGAAATGCTAATGGGCAAATGACATCACTTCTTCAATAAATAAAGGGTGAAAGGAGAAGGGAGAAGTGGAAAGGTGGGCAGCCCTTATACGTTAAAAAAGACTTAAAAGATCTTTCAGCCAATTGCAATGTGTAAACTTATCTGGATCCTGGTTCAAGCAGCCTATGAAGCTACTGGTGACCTTTGGAAACAAGTAGAAATATGAAAACTGACTGGATATTTGACAGGCGCACAGGGGCTCGTTATTCTATTTCATTCTGTTTCTCAGTGCACTTTAAATCTTCCACTAATAAGAAAAATAAATCAGGAACAAGTACTGGGCACGTACAAGCCTCCCCAGACATCAACCAACTAGGCCCTGATGCTCAGGCAAACAGCAGCTGCAGGGCCAAGAATCAAGGTTTTAGTTTTCCCTTTTTAGAAAGATAAAGACTAGGATTCAGATGACCCTGGCCAAGCCCACAGGGGACGTAACCTATGAGGAATGTCCAGAGGAGACGCGAGGGACCTAGAAGATGGAGGCCCAGGCTGGGCCGCTCCCATGCTGTTACTTGGCTGCTCTGCTAACAGGTGCTACGGAGCTGGGGCAACACATCCCGAAGCCCCCTTCCCCTCTCCCTCCTCCCCCTCTCCCGTGCCTGCTCTCTGGGCCTCCTCTGTTCACCACCCTGTCCCGGGCACACCGTGCTGAGGGAGGGAGCGGGGCGCGGCGGCATTGGTTTCCCCTGCTTTCTGTCTCTGATGTTTAAAAAGGGGGGAACGGGATCGGTTAGCAAAGTGCTGTCTAACGTGCAGAGAGCACTGTGACAGCTGACTTGAAGTTCTGCCCGCGCCCCGCCCTGCCACTGCAGAACGGGTGGGAGGGCTCCGACACAGATCCAAAGAGGAGATGACTGCCCAAGACCCCCTGTGGCAGAGCCAAGCCCCAGACCCAGGCCACCGCACTTGCAGCCCCAGAACTGCCGGAACTGCCGTCCGGAGGGCCGTCGGCTCACGGGTAGCTGAGCTCCTGAGCCGACTGCTGAGCCGCCGCTCACCTGAGCCCACTTCTTGTTTCGACTCTGCATCTGCACCGCAGCTATGGAAGCAAAGAAGTCCTCGGCCGGCAGGTCGTCGGGCAGCCGCGTCAGGAACTGGGCTATGTGAATGAAGTCCATCTTGGTCAGGATGTCCTCGAACAGCTTCAGGATGCCCAGGGCCGTGCGGAACAGAAACTCCTCCCCGTCCCGGCAGAACACATCCCATATACGGCAGGCCAGGTCGAGGGGCAGAGACTTGCTGTATAAAGTAAAGATCCTGGGGAGAAGTTGAGTTTCTCAGATTTCACATGGCACAAAGAGCGCACTCTCAACTCAGGTCTGATCCATCAGCGTCTCCCTCAGGCAGTCGCTCTCATATCACATCGGGGGGGGGGGGACGACTCTCGGCCTGCCTTCCCTCTGGAGGCCAATTCAAACATTTTACAAGACAGCATTACCTGTCACAAGGAGTCTCAAACACCGTACCGTTTCGGAATTACAGATACCAGTTACCTCTGCATGCAACAAGTATTTACGGGCACCTGCTATGTGCTCATTCCCCTGTGGGAGGTGCCAGATGTAAGGTTCACACGGCCGACAAGGCTTAAGGGTCTGGTGGGGACCGGAAACAGTAGACAGAAATGTCTGGTTCTGTGCGCTCGTACACCTGACTTCCGAAGACTGCCGTACACTTCTGTCCCAGTAGGGGTCAGCAAAGGAACAAAGAAACATTTTCCCAAAAATCTGAGGGTGGATTACAAGGAACTGATCTTATATTTAACAATGCAAACCATGAGATAAAAAAAAGTGAAATACAGATACGTGTTCCCTTCATAAACTGTGATAATCACAGTCCAAACTACCAAATAAATACAATCCTAGGTGATCATACGTCATCAGGTCTAACCGCTTCTACCTTGGAACGTGGCCATGTCACAAAGCGAGGCGAGTCAGGTTGAGATGTCGACCAAACTGGATCCCTGTGAATCTGCCCTCCTCCAGCAGCTATGAGCCGCAGCCTGGGCACCATGTCCAGGGCATCTCCTGATCCCCAGGCCCAGCCAGATGCTCCTTCCCGCTCTGGGCTCCCCCTGCCCTGGTGCTCATCACAACACGCTGTGTTCGCGTCTGTCTCCCACGGAGACTGCCCGAGAGTAGGGGCCTGGCCCATCTCACCCCCGCCCTCAGCACCAGCACCGCATCTGGCGATCTCTGCCGAGTAAGTGTGCGGGCAAGCTCTCAGTCCACTTAAGGACGTCACAGACGTCAGAGGTTCTCACTGCCCTCTCACCAGGTGGATGAGTCCTCATGACAGGTGCTGACTCTCATCTGCTGGGGGATACTTTATCCCTCCTGGAAAACCACTTTTCTGCAGGTCTCAGTTTTTCCTTAGTGTCCATGCTGACTCAAGAGACACACGGGGCCCATGAAGGCACCTGAACTCAAGTGCTGGACTTAGACTGCAGGGCTCTGGTCAGGAGGTAATGTCACCAGGCCTTGAAGAGCAGGACGCTCACTTCCCTAGAAAAGATTCTACCAGGAATGTTACACCATACTGGCAAATATGCTCCCTAGTTTCATGGGTACAGGCTTTCTGTCTGCGGTGAACTCCAGGGTGCAATTTACTCGACTCTCTCGCCTGGGAGGATGCTCTGCCCCAGAAACAGCCTTTCCTCCAGGACCCGGAGGAACTTCCATGCAGTGAAGGGCATATATTCAACACCACATGCTGATGAAGACCCAATAATGTTCAAGGCTGCCCCTTGTCAGTGCTTTAAAACTCTTAAGAGATTCAAGAAAAGTGTAATAATTTAGATTTCAACTCAGATGATGGAAGAGGGAGGCAGATGTCAGGAAGAAATCACTCCAGGTCCTGCCACCAGTAACCAGCAGAGCCAGACCCTGAAGCCGCCCCAGAGCCCATGCCCCGAGCGTCCGGAGTGCACGGCGTGCTCTCGGGCAGCACGCGGTCGTGCTGGGAGGACACCTAACCTGTTGGAGCCACAGAGGACCTTCAGCCTGAGCTTCTCCTTTCTCAAGAAACCGAAACCCATTTCACTGTCGGTCTAGAAGACACAGTTCAAGAGAGAATCAAGAGACCCGTTTCTAGTCGCAATCTGAAAAGTGTTCTAAGTTCCATCTGGAGGAAGTTGTATTTCTCAAAAGTGAAGAGACCTGACCTAATCTCCAGCACTGCTTCTCACCCACCAGTTCACTGGTGGGAATCAAGCCCTCACACCTTAAAAGCAGGGTCTTAAGTAAAAAATGATGGAGAAATACAGTAACTATAGGCAAACAAGAGAGAAATAACAAAATTAATTTCTTTAGCATAATACTGAGTTGAGATTTGTGTGTGGGTCTCCATAAACTCCTCTAGATATAGTTTGAACTGTACAAGACTAAGCTGACATCGAACGACCAGGGGAGCCACACTCCAGGCCCGTGACGCTCATGTTTACGCTGCACCTCACATGTCCCTTTCACACAGTCATCAAGCAGGGACAGACACCCCGGCTACCTTCCCCTGCAGACTCCGGCGGGCCTTCCAGTGACCAGCTCCTGGGCCCTGGGCTCTAGTCCGAGTCCAGCATCACCGTCCCCTCAGCCTCCTGCTCCCGCAGCGTCTGAGCAGGGAGGGTGTTCGCCTCCCCGCCTCCCGCAGCAGGACTGCTCAGACACGCGCCAGCGTCCTCAAGCGCCCCTCTCCCTCTCCTCTCATCTCCCCTCTCACTGCAAAACCATTCATTACCAGCGGCTGTCAAATGCTTGACTCTTTTAAACTACGTTTAGCTGTGAATAGGACACTTCAACGACGTTCCCCGCTTCATTCTCAGGAGAGTGGTTCATCCGGCCCCATTCATGCAGGTGAGGAGCCACTCAGCCGCAGGGGATGCAGTGAGCGAGCGGGGCAGCCCCGGAAGCCGCCCTCCGGAGCGAGCAGGCTGCTGTCTGCACTCGGCCTCCCCGCCTCGAGCGCTTCCAGTCGGCTCCCCGCGGCACAGTGCTGGGCCTCAGCCCACTCCAGCAGGGACGAGGGCGGAAGCAAAAGGGAGGGGCGGTGAAAGCCCCCGGCCTTCCCCGGACTGCTGAGTGTTCTGGCCCTGGAGGAGAGAGTGGAGGATTTTTCTCCCCCAAGAAATGACTTTTTCTCCCTTGGACCGCTGCGTATTACTGCACTGTGTGTATTTGCGTGTGTGCATGTCTGTGTTGCTAAACTAATGACGTGGCAACAGGCTCAGAAAGGACAAGGGGTGAGTGGTGTGTATCTCTTTCCCCAACAGCACGTGGAGGGGAATGGAACAGTTTTCTTCCTGTCAAGCCGTCACAGTTCCCAGAAAGCATTCTTATCTGGCGCTGCCTGATCCGACTGCTTGTCTGAGCTTCCAGGGGAGCGAGGGAGCACGCCGGGGAGGGAGGGGGCTCACCACTTCCGAAGCCAGGCGTGGGGGCAAAGGCTCCTTCTGAGAGGCCCGCGGTGGGAGGACCGACATCCCCGCCTGTCTGCAAGCACCGCGGGCCTGTCTGCAAGCACCAAGCAGAGCCGACGGGCACACCTGCCTCCCTGCACAGTGCGGCTTCGTATGCTCCCCTCTGGATCATCCAGTTTGATCCCTCAGTTAAAACAAGCTTCATCTCCATTTTATGGTGAGGAAACTGCAAATCTAGGGAGGCTGTGGAAATGCGGCTTTCAGCCTGAGGAAAGGGTGAAGGTCCTCTAGCGTCTCACCCGCTGAGGAGCAAAACCAGACACACCTGGACCTCCAAAGCCTGACAGCCAACTTCCACCTGTGCCTGAATGCTCCCATCCTCACCGGTTCCTAAGAATGGGACTTTGTCCCCCAAGCTGGCTTACCAAGTGGCCCTGAGCCCCTCCCCCTCACCATGGTGTGCCCCGTGTCCTAAAAACCCAGACCAGCCATTCGCGTAGACATCGCTAGAAAACCACTCAGCCTCCTTAGGCCTTGTGAGGATTAAACAAAACAACATTAAACACCCAATATAGAACTGCAATCACTAAAAACTGAAGGTAGTTATGTAAGTCTCAGTTCAAACTTAATTAACAAGCCCAACCCTTGCCCCGACCCTGGAAGCAGTCAGACAGATCCACCTCAGTGCCCCGGGAGGACCCCCTAACTTGAGCTCAAAGGTATTCTCACTTCAGCTGCCAGCACCGAGCAGAGGCAGGAGACAGTAGGGAAACAGGTGAACCCCGTGTTAGAACACAGCCTCCATCGCAGCCAGGCCGAGGTGGGCTGGTGACCAAGGGCTGTGCAGGGCCTTCCTGCGGACAGGTGTCCCCCCTGCAGGCTTGGACACCTCCTCCGTCCCACCCACACGCACACACGCACACACTCTGATGAGGCCCCCACGTCGGCCAGGTGCTATTCCGGATGCCTGGGAGCTCAGCAAGCCAACACTACTCTGGAGTTCTTAGGCAGACCCAAAACCCGAAAGTTAGAAGCTATTAGTGAAATGTATGCAAGATGTGATGGAAACTAAAATCTCCTGACTCGTAGTTTCACCTTGAACCATGCCGTTAAGCTAAGAGACAGCATGATGATCAGATCTCCAAGTATCACCAGACATTATTCAAGAAACATTAATCGTGATGTAGAATGTACTGCTTGATTCTTCTGTTAATTCAGGATTATTTGCTACAAAACCCACTCACGTCTCTGAGTAATTCTGCCATTTGACAGCAGTGGGGAAATATTTTGGTAAGTCAAATGACCGCATGTCAGCCCTCCCACAAAACATGGACACCTGACTGAACACTCACAACCCTGTAGGAGGCCGCAGTCAGTGAGGCCCTGCCCTAAGCCTCCCAGCTCCACGCGAGCAGAGAAGAGCGACAAGCACTACACAGGACCCCTTGCCAGGAAAGCAGTGTCAGTGAGCAAATCTGGGCCTCAGCTGTGGAGCCTCTGCAGCACTGGGCAGACAGTGGCCCCGAGTGCACTTGGGGAGCGAGCACCCTGGGGAGCGAGCACCCGGGTGAGCCTCGGGCCGGATTCCGTGTATTTTAAGCCCAGGAAGGGGCCCGTCAGGAACAGATGCATTCTTGAATCTAGGACTCTGAGCCAGGCATGGGTCCAGGCACTGGGGACACAGAGGTGACTGGCAAAGCTTGGTCTATTGCAGGCACAGCAGGAAACAGACGATGCCCTCAGTGGTCAGCGCTGCGATGGGGGAAGCCTTGACTGCTGGGGCGGAGGGGAGAGGAAAGAGCGTTCTGGAAGAGTAACTATCAAACTGGGCAAGACAATGTCCTACATAAAGCCACAATGCGATAATCCTGGGGGAAGAGAAGCTGTGCTAGGAATGTAAGGGCGACTCCGACATGGCCTCTGGGGCAGACAGCAGGGCAGGAAAGGAGATTCTATCGTCTTGTCTGAGCACCACAGCTCACGCGGGACACTCAGAAAGCCAAACCACGGAGCCCACAGCCCTCCAACACGGAAAAGGAGAGTGAGCTGCTGGAAGCCCCTGCAGACCACGTGCACAGTGCAGATCCACCACATGTGCAACTCAGAGGCAGGCCCTGCTGTCAGGGGTGCAGACACCGGTTTGGGGAAGGTGACATGATGAAGCAGGAAAAGCAAAAGGTCTGGAGTGAGACTGGTCTGGACCACTCACTACAGGCGAGATGCCGGGTAAGGGGCCTCAGCAGCTTCCTCTGCGCTAAGACATACCTGCTCCAGAGGCCGTGAAGGTGAAACAAAAGAACGAGTGCCTCTGAGACGCCAGCTTCCAGGGCAGGCCCTAGGCCAAACCTGTTCCTTCCCAGGGCTTCCTTCCCACTGCCTACCCTGCTTCTGATCTGAGCTTTGAACTAACTGTTAGCACCCAACCAAGAGCCTGAATCATTACAGACTATCCATAAATGTGGACTGCAAGGAATAAATCATGAATACATGGTTTTCCTGTGCTTAATTCACTGTGCTTTAATTCAACTTAAATTCCTACTAAGGACTTACTGTGTGCCTAGCCCTGCCATCAGCGTTCCACCTGGTCCTAATTCCACGAAGCAGTCAAGCATCTCACCAGGGACAGGCCTGCACCAGCAGGGCCCTCGTCAGACTACAGCGGGCAGCACTCAAGGGGCATCAGGCACCAACCACGTCACCTGGTCTCCGGAGCGGGGTCCTCACAGCTCCTTTTCACTCGGACCTCTGTGCTTTGCTCCACCTGCATCGCTGGCAAGCCTGCCCTGAGCTGTGTACCCTCACCAGTGTGCTGCTGTATCTTTGGAGCCTGAGCTCCGGGACCCACCTCATGGGTCATGCTGCCTTACAGCTAAACCCGCTAGCGAACAAGCTCTGAGCAGGTGAGCACCAGCCCTGCTGCTCAGCCAGCCCCGCGGCCTCGGGCAAGTCACTCGGCCTCTTGGAGCCCCACCTTCCTCAAGTGTGAGACAGAGGTGCTACAATCCACTGGCAGGGGTTGTTCTAAGCGTCCCATGAGATCATGAGAGAAGCGCTGGAGTCAATGAAGGCAGGCCCCTTGACCTCTACCCTCCACCTTCAGCCTGGAATAGAAAGACAGGCGTCCTGCAGGACAGTGCTCCTCTCTGCCCGTGGTGACCGCACCGACCACCACCTGTGCTGTCATCACACTGGATCAGCACCAGCTTTTTTTTTTTTGAACAAATAGAACAGAACCGGAAACTTCTGAATGCTCTGCACATAGTGACAGCTAGGTACTAGTTCATGAAACCTGTTTCGTATACATACTATGTTGCTGCACACACGGCCACACACTGGGTCACAACACAAAATTTACTTCCTTTTACAAGTCAGGGTAAAAAAAGTTTGAAAGTCACTATTCCAGAACAGTGCTTTCCAAAGTTCACTTTTAGCCTGGAATCCTAAGAATCTAACCTGGGGGCCTCAAATAGACCAGGTAGAAGCTGAAGACTCTGGTCCCACAGGAGCCTCCCCTACCACTCTCCCCCGGTCACGGGCTCCAGGCTGGGAACCTTCAAGGTCAGGGTTCACAGTCAAATGACCAGCATGGGTGCACAACAGGGGTACAGAGGGACAGCCTGTACAAGAGTTGAGTGTTCGTGTTGTGGACAAATCATTTGTCAGCTAAAGGTGCCCTTCAAGGGAGGCCCCAAACACTTCCACCCTGCACAGCCAGACAGGCCAGCCCAGCATCCCCACCAGTGGCCACTTCACGGCCATCTCACTATACTAACCCACAGTGACACAGCACCTGTCACGTCAGCTAGGAGCTGTGACCTCCAAACCCTGTGCCTGGCAAGAATTCATCAGAGTCAGAACAAAACAGGGTTGAGGGCAGAAGCAACTAATGCCAAGAATCCCACAGGCTTGTTCCCATGGGTGTGGACAAGTTGGCTTTATTTAAGGGAGTCTTGTTTCTGACGACATTTGGACTTCACCTTGTAGAAGCCTTTTCCCTCATGAAGAAAGTGAGCAAAAAAAAAAAAAAAAAAAAGTCACACCAGCTCTGCATTCCTGGCAGTTTCAGAGTCATTGTGCAAGTTAGTGCCGAAGCCCCAACGGGCTTTTCGGTCAAGTGACATTCCTTCCCTCTGCAGAGCCCGCTGTGAGTCGGGGTGGGAATGCCGGGCAGTCAACGGACAAGGCCCTGAAAGGCTCATCAGCTTGGTCTACAGATGAGGGAGCAGGCTCAGAGAGGTTCCAGGGCCCTCGGCCAGGCCATAGGTGAATAACAGGAGAGGCTGGGACTTAGGTGGGACCCCACGCTCCTCCCACCATGCGGCCCCGAGACTCCTCCCCTAGTTCCCAAGTTCCCACCCACCTTCTCCCCTGGCGCTCTCTGGGGTGACGACCCAGCCTTCCTCAGACAACCACATGCACCTATGCACGAAGACCTGCCTGTCCACTGCCCCACTGCAGAACTCCCTGGAGCCTTGTATCTGTGAGTCTTCCTCAGTGTCCTCCAGGCACCTCAGAACCACTGTGTCCACAGCCAAATCCACTAAGAGTCCCGACAGACCCAACCCTGCTGTGTTCTGGTCTCAGCTGGGCCCAGCCCCCCCAGCATCTGGCCCCACAAGAGCAGACCACGCGTCTCCGCCCTCTCCCCGACAGCCACAAGCCTCCCCTGGGGCCACAGCGCTTCCCTCTCCAGCATCTCTCTCCTCCCCACTCTCCACCCACTCCTGCGGCCTCAGCTCAAGCCCTGGCTTTTTCTTCCTTAATGTGTCTGCCTCCAGGTTCCCCTGCCTTGCGAGTAGATAAAACTCACCTCTGGGTACAGCCCACCTGCATTCTCACCCCAAGCACAAACCTTCAGCCGCTCCCTCTGGCCCCTGTAATCCTGTCTGCTCCTCTACCTGGCGTCTGAGACCCACCAGACCCGGCTTCCAGGCCTTTCGCCTGCCGCCCTCTGCCTTTTACTTCAGGCTCCCACATCACCACGCCAACTGCTGCAGCCCTAACTCTGGAATGCCGCACACTCATGTCATGTCTTGGCTCAAACTCCTGTGTCATCTCTGTGTACTCTGGCCCCCAAGCCTGGGTCCAGGCCTCTGTCCTTCCCTTCCTTCAGGGACGGCACTCATCACCTGCTGTCCAGCCCCAGCCGTCCACAGACAGTCTCTCCTACTAGGGAGAAGCTCCGGACAGGCCAGTGCTGAGTCCTCTCACTGCCTGTCCGGGATCCTAGAAGAGAGCCCGCCAGATCTGGTGCTTAGTGACGTCTCGTGGAAGGAATGGATATCAGTACCTTGAAAACAAAGAGGTCCAAGACACTGTTCTCCCCGAGAGAATTCAGGAGGACCAGTTAGAGTCACAGGAGGCACCAGAGAGAGTACCAGAGCGGAGCAGACGACCAGCAGCACGAGCCCAGGGACACAGGGCTCGGGGCCGCGGGGGAGACGGTAAAGCAGGACGTGGGGGTCAGCCGAGCCCTGGAAGATGCTGGCAGTGAGGAATGAAAAAAGGGGGCGTGGAGATAAGAAAACACTGAAAACATTAAAATGCAGTCTTACCAATCAATTAGGTAGATGTCTGGAGTTAAGTTGTTTTTCTTGAAATGGGCAAATAATTTCGGCAAATTTTCTTCAAAGAATACCTCAAATGCAGCAAAATAAGTCAACATCTAGGGAGACAATGTGAAACATACTATAAACTCATTATCAGCACAAGCTTCCAGTCTACAAAAAAAGTCAACACACGTGTACCTTTAGAACCTAACACTCATCTTCATGCGTAACTGCACACATACCTTCTCTGGCAACCCGGAACCAGGCACTACACGTGCACCATCTAAATAAGCGCGGTCTCTTCTCACATCACTGGCTGCATCTTATTATTTCTTCAATTTGTAGATAAGAGAACTGAAACCCAGAACAGTTCTGTCACTTGCCAAATGAGGTCACATCACCAGTGTGTGGCGAGGCGGGGCCCTGAACCTGTGCCTGTCCCCCAGCAACGGCTGACTCCTGACAGGTTCATTCTCTGAGAACCAGGGATGGATTAACTGCCTAAAACGATCTGAAAAACCAGGCATGCCTCCCTCCCAACCCCTAACATTTCCAGAGGGAACATAAAACATAACACTAACATTGAGGCAAGGGCAACACTGCTGTGGCTCAGAAGTGCAGCCCTTCAATGCAGTGAGGGAGAAACCCTGTGGGGAAAGGAAGCAGCCACGGCCTGTGTTTTACCAGCACACGCTTTTCACCTTCTTACAGGGTTTGCAGGAACACAAAATGGACCGAGCAGGGGCGGTGCTGAAACAGGATTAGGAGCGGCACACATCTGAGACGCAGCCTGGTTCTGTTCCACCCTTTCCCAGCTGGATGCCCGTGGGCAGACGGCAACTCTCAGAAGCTGTCTGCACATCTCAGCAAAGGGATGTTCTGAAAACCAGTGGCTCCCAAGTAGGGGCGACTGTGCCTCTGAGGCGACACCTGGCTGTGCCTCAGGACATTTCTGATTGTTGCATCTAGTGGGGAGGTGCTACTGGCATCTGGTGGGGAAAGGCCAGGGGTGCTGCTGGACGGCGTCTGATGCACAGGACGGCCTCACCACAGCTGCGCAGCCCCAGATGTCCATGGCGCTGCTGCAGAGAAACCTTGCTGCAGATGCAGCTCCCACTCAACATTACAATTCTGTGATTTTTCCTTAACAACACAAGTTAAAATTTCTCATTTCTCATCATGTGTTTCCAAAGGGGTCTTCAAAATTAGAAGATACTTAGATGTACACCATAAAACCATAAACCATAAAAAAGGTTTTTTCCTGACTATGAAAGTAGTGTCTGTAAAATGCTCACTGTAGAAAACTTATGAAGTACAGAAACGAATAAAGATCATCCATAAACACTACTAACATTGGGTGTACTTCCTTTTATTGTTAAATATGGTAGCTATTATGGCATATATTCTATTTTACATACTTCAGAAAAAATTTGCATTTTATCTTCAATCTTTCCCCGTACAGTTGTTTGCAATGTCAGTGTTGCACTGGGTAGAATATTTCCAGATCTTAATGAACATTCTGTATTGCCCTAAATACCCATTTTTAAAAGTTTTCATCTTCACAACGAAAAATAATTTTAAATTTTTACTGAATAATTATAACTGTGCAATAATCACTGTGCAAAGTGCTCTGTCCACACTTGTGATTTTCTTAGAAACAATTCTTCCGAAAATTACATACCAACACCGTTTACTGCTACTGACACCTAACACCAAACCGTCTTCCAGAAGGACGCTGCCAATTTACACTTCCCTTGAGAGCCACCATTTAGCAGCAGTTTCATAATACTTAAAAAAAAATGTATGTAACAGCCTGAGCAAGATATACTCAGGAGTCCTTAAGACATCAAGGAAGAAACATTCTCTAGCTGTTCTGAACTATTAGATCCTTTTAGGTCTGAAATACTAGTGACAATTATCAGCAAGTGTCAGCAAACGACCAGCAAACCCAGACAATGCTAACTACAAAGCGGGTGGGTCTGGTGCATCGGTGACCTCCCTCCTGGGCTACAGGAAGAACACAGGCTTAGGAAGCAGAGGGGTCCAGTGCGGCTCTCCACAGACCAGATACGTGCCTCGACCGAGGCCTACCACTCCTGAGCCTCACTTCCTTGTCTGCACCAGGCAGTGGTCCCACCTCCAGGAGCGAGTGGGACCTCCCCAGGGCAAGGACTGCCAACTCCTTCCAGCCACTCATTTCTTCCTTCCGTCAGATGGAGGAGCCGGTCTTAAGCCTGTCTCCTCTCCTGTGTATGAGCATGCTGCGTGAGGCAGACCCCGACGTGGGGCTGCTCTGGGGCTTCTGCTTGGACACATGGTGTGCATGCTGGAATATATTTTCAGAAATATTTTCCGAAAGGGTGCATTAAGAAATTTTTTCATATGGCTATTAATCACGTGCTTTTGAAGTTCAGCACAACACCCAAAAAATCCTCCACGTCATGTAGTGCTACTTATTCTGAGTATCTTAGTGGAGGAAAAATGTACTATTTTTCCCCCTGAAGAGAAAGAATGATTAGGCCCCTCTTGCTGTGTGAAAACACAGTACCCAGGGCACAACACACACCGGGATACTTACAAGGCCATGGTCCACTCGAAAAAATGCCATTTGACATGGTTTATTCAAAAGATTAGAAAAAGCAATGAAGGCATCTGCAGTATCTAAGTTCAGGATCAACACGGCTGCTATGAAGGACATGCCCTGAACCTGAGAGGAGGAGAGAAATGGGGATTACACTGAGGCAGTTACCACAGTCAGAACAGCTCTGCCATCTTACTGGAAGAGGAACCTAAATCCCTCACACTGGAAGGATCCACACTGCACCCGCCCATGGCCACCCGCCGGAGGCTGAACCGACAGCCCTCTCCGTACTGGCCTGGCCTTGCTGGGAACCGCCGCTCTGCCCCATCACCCACCTGCGTGCACTGCTCCAGCCCCACCCGCAATATGGGGAAAACCATGACCAGCCCCTCCTGCATCTGAGATGCCGCCCTCTGCAACATAGGGCTTCCTGGTGCCATAGAAATGTGCGTCTAACCAAACGCGTCACTCTAAAACTGCGCACACGCGTCTGCCAAGCTGCAGGCGCAGCAGCAGCACAGCGTCAAACGCAGTCACTGCTAAAAGCGCTTCTGACTTAATGCTGAAAAAAATCACATGCAAAAAATGGAAGTCAAATCCCATTAAAATGTGATTAATGCCACAGAGCAGCCACGTCAGCTCAACTTCCCTGCGAGGAAACTGAGGCAAATCATTTACTGTGAGACGTTTCATACTCAACAAAAAAACGGGGGCATTCAACCTGACACCTGCAGCTACAGTGTGCTGGCCAACATTCTGACTTTCTTTCTAGATGAGAACATCATAAAGTATTCAAAAAGTTCACTTACATAGCCCACATCCGGTCGATAACAAGTGTAAGCGCCCAGAATGCTGTGCAGCATGTCGTGGTACGGCCCACCCTACAGGGACCAACACAGCAGGGACAGCATGCGTCAATCGTGTTAGTGCTTGGACTCGCTCCTGCCGCCGCCAATCACGCCCCCCGTGTACCAGGAGGACTAGATGACAAGCGTTACGCTAGCAGCTCAACACGTACGTGCAACTTGACAGATTAACTAGCAACCTGCAGTTAACAAGGCCCGTCTGCAGCTTGGTCTGCGAAGCTGCGCTGAAGTGAGCTGGTGGGTCAGGTGTGAGCACAGCGCTAGAAAAACAGCCCTAATTTGGCCCCTGCTGTGTAACTGCATTTCCCCTTTAGAGTTCAAGGGAGACCAGGTGCCCCAGGGTCCTTCAGAGGAGGGAGAGCTCACCGTCTTCCTGCCTCTGCCCCCTCTCCCCTGCTTGTCACTCTCTGTTTGTGTTTCTCAGGACGGCAGGTTTAGGAAACACACTCTGACTTTTTAAGTCCGAACAGCTACCATTTTATTCCAAATGTTCTCCCAGCTCCCCCATCCCTCCAAGATTTCCATTTGTTCCTGTAACTTCTTCCAAAAATTTAAGTGTTGGAATTTCTTTGCTCTAACAGAGCATGGAAGGAAGCTCGGAGGCACCTCACACTGATGTGAACGTGGGAGACACAGGCTCGGCCCAGATCATGGCTCAGGCCCACGTCTGCCACGTGTACATGAGAACGCCCTGGCCCGGCCATCCCATTCTGACATATAAAAAGAAGAGACCCTTCCAAATCACAGAGGGATAAAACAGCAATGGAAGGTAAAAAAGATGACACCCAGGGCTAAGAGGGTAAGGGGGGATGAGGGGGGTCCTGGGGCCGCATCACCTGAGGACCAGCGCGACTGTCACCAAGGGGTATCCGGTCTAAGGACAAAGGAGGAAAAAGCAAAGGTACTGCACTGGCCTTTCCTTAGAGCTACGTGTTCTTAATTTGGAAGACTTTGCGCCCTCCTCCTGATTACGTCCTCCTTACTCTGGTGCTAAATGTCCTTTCTTTGATGAAAGATGGTGCTAGTAGATGGCAGTTTCTCGTTTCAAATGCCCTTAACTTGTTCTGGACATTTCATAGTTCCCCACACCACTTTTTTTTTTTTCAAACATTGCCCATTTTTGAAATCTAGAACTTTGGGAACCACAGACTGAGGGAGACATCTGGCCGTGGGCACCCTTCAGGCCCCGGCCCGGTTCTCGGACGGCCCTTCTCGGCAGAGCCCTGCCCTTATACTCTCTCTCCTCCAGAGCACAGACTGCCCTGCAGCTGGCTGCCACCTCAAACAGAGCAGCCGCCAGTCCACGGAACTGAGGATTCCCTGAACTATCAGCTGTTTGATGGCTCCATTCTGGTCCTCCTCCTGCCTGGGATGTCTCTCCCATCCTCCGGTCAGACTGTCATTCGAACCTGGTCCAATCACAGCCCAAGAGCCACTTCCTCAGTGGGCATGCCTGACCCCTCATCCCTGCCCTCTCCTGGCTGCTGTACGTGGACCAGGAGAGTGAACCATTACCTGTCTGTGCTTGTCAGAGTACCCGGGACACACCCACATTTCTGCAAAGCCCACCTGTCTAACCTCTACACCTCCTGGCTCATTCTAGGCAACCACTAACTGATTTGTTCTAATTTATTCCACTTTCCTTTAATGGTTCCCTAGTGGGTACATGGGCATAACAGAACCAGACTGGGTATCTCAAAGTCATACTAAATACTTGTTGGAAAGAATCAGTTACCCTTATTTTTAAAACTCTACATAGATCAACATAAGACCTGCCCTCTCGCCAAAAAGCCCTAGTACTTTTCAAACTTGATCACAAATATGTGCAATTTGGCACCTGTGAATTCCAGACAAAACATACTGAAAGTAACAAATCACCACCACCTACTTGCTGGAAAATGCAGAGATTAGGGAAGGTTCTGGAAATGTCCAGTTTAATAAGCTCCAGGCTGGCTTCTCTGTCTGCTGCTGAAAAACCAGCATCTGTCAAAAGATCAACAGTCATCACACCTCTCAGAGGCAAGTGTGTGGAGCAGCTACAAGGCTTTGAACTTTTATGAGAACGAAACAAGAAAAGGAAGTTCTTCAGAAGTACATGGACCTAATTACCACCTGAACCAACAGGATCAACAGTTTGTAGAGTTTACACCAGTTTGTAGAGTTTCTTGCTTTAAGGGCAAAAATCTCACAGCACCATCTAATGCTAGATCATCATCAGATACTTTCCAGAGTGTGAAATCAAAATCTGATTTGATATTACCTTTGCCAACAACTGTCACGGAAGTGAGGACAAGTAAGGCGACAGACACACAAATGGATTCCAGGCACAGAAAACACAAAAAAACCCATTATTTGATCTAGAGCATCACTGGGATGAACTGAGAGCACATGGGAGCTACTGCAGCACAGCACTCATGCGCACCATCTCTAACGAGCACGTATGAGTAACTTGCTTTATGCTTTTTAATTCTAATACCACACAGACAGCATAAAGGCAGGTCAGCGAAAAAGACACCACTCAACTAACAGAGGTCATCACAACCATTCTCGTGTGTTATGGAAAATTCTAAAAGCATAATCTAGGAAATACGCTGTTTTTCTTGTCTCTGTGGAAGCGGTTCCTCAATAAACCAGCTCTCAAGCGATCCTGGGTGCCAGGCTACTGTAAATCATGTGAATAGTGAATAAAGGAAACAAAACTGGTGATGATCAGCCTTCCAGCATCTTAGGACACACTCAACTCTCAGGAATTGGTATTATCTTTCTTATAAGTTTCTTTCTTTAATTTGTTTGCTCTAAAAAATCCCTTTTGCCATGAAGCGTTTATATTTTGCACAAACCACTATTTCAGTTAAGTAAATTTTCTTCATTATGTAATAAATAATGACATACATATGTGACCGAAGGAGCCCACAGGTGTGTTAGCATCATACATACCTTCACTGTCCACTTCAGAGCCTCCTGTGCTAAAGGACCGCCACCTCTCCTTGGCTCGGGCAAGACAGATGTCAAAGAGTTCTGGAAGAAAAGCCTCTGGGTAAGTATCAAGTGCACACGTGAGTATGCCTCCTTGAAAACACCAGAGAGTACACACTGCCTCATTCAAATGTTTAAAGTTCAACTACAGCTAAGGCTACTTAAACAATCCCCCACTTAGCCTGAGGGCGCTGATGTCTGAAGACACCACCAAATACAAAGAGACACACAAAATGCCACTCTGCGTGGTGTTTACTTAGATTACACAACCCACCCATCAACTGTTTTGCTTCGATGTATTTGTGAGTCTATCGCCTCTATTAGACTGTGAGCTCCAGTGAGACTGGGAGGGTCTCTTGTTCATATTTGTATCCAGAGCAAACAGCACTGGGATTGACGCAAATCAGTACAATCAATGAGTATCTGACAGATGAAGAAAGCGAGAGACAAGCAGAAAAGCCATCTGGTTTTAAATAAAGACAAAATGGAACCGCTACTCCCTGGCCCAGTCTTCCTGAACATGCTGCCTGAAAGGGGGCAGCGATGCAAGCAACACAGGCAGAAGTTAAAAAAAAAGAAAATGAGGATTCTTGTTGGCAGAGAGGTGTCAAGGCAGGTCTCCCACAAGGCAGCCTCCATGTCTCACCCATATTTGGAACTTATTTTTCAATAATTCTTCTCTTTGGGTAGTTTGGCAATGGTGAAATACTAACTCTGCGCACAGATTTCACAGTTACACACAGACCTCCGTGGTATATCCACGCCCCAGTCTTCCTGAAAGAGCGAAAATGAAGGCTGACCCCACAGAGACCCCCCCGCCTTCCCCGGCCCGGATGCTCCCCAGCCATCGGTTGCCCTGGATTGCGAACACTCACTAGTTGATCACTAAGACTTTAATTACAGCTACTCAGAGAATTTCTGTAACTTTATTTTTTCCATCAAACTTTTGGAAAATAAAGCAGAGCACATCTGCCTTCTGGATAGTATATGCTGTTTTATTAAAATATAAATCAAATTCTAGTAATACTATTGTGTTCCAGTAAGTAAAATTTTGATTAACAACCCTTTTCTAACCTTGTGATGATCTGACCCACAATCTATGAGAGTCCGTAAGCGCAGCGCAACTATGAAATAAAACTGCATGTTGATGTCAGCACCTGAAAGGCAGCAACAAGCATCCTCATTCAAATGCTTAAGGGACAGATCTGGAGGAGTGCTGAGCTGGAGGCTAGAGGGTCTGGGAGCCTCTGCCCGCTCTCAGTTCCCAGGAGTTGGGCTTAGCTTTGATCATTTTGGCAGGAGGTGAAGGAAAACAACTGTGTGGTCCCACTTCCCAAATGAGGTTTCGACAGTTAAAGCACAGATGCTGGCAGTCTCGGGGTGAAATGGGTCAAAAGTATCAGGTTTTAAAACATCCCTTGGTTTTACTAGTGTGTGCCTGTGAGGAGGGGAGAAGTTAGAACAGTGAATACACCTTCTTCCCTGACCCAGTTTCAAAGTACAAGGCTGACTTCCCTAAGAGTGAAGTTTTAACAGCACCATTAGGTCGACTTTCAGTAAGTTTCCAATTGCACAACCACAGAAAGAACAAAACTCTGGGGCTTCCCAAATCACAACACAGGCTTCAGAGTCAGCTGAGGCCAGAACGTCCCAGCTCCACCATACACTGGCCATGAGGCTGGGGCACGGTCCCTGACCTTTTCAGGATGCTAGATGCTCAGCAGAGAAATAAGGTCAACACCACCTGCCCCTCAGACTGCGCTTGTTGTTAAGTAAGATGGGAGCAAAGAGCCCAGTACGATGCCTAGCCTCACAGCAGACCTTGAGATGACCTGTGTTCTCACACTCGCTTGAATATGCAGTAAAACTGAGATTAAGTAGGACCCAATAAGGTGGCATTCACTCATTCACTCAGCAAACACTTCCTGAGGGCCTGCCTTGTGCAGAGAGCTGTGCTGGGCTCAGCGACAGAACGGAGAGCGTCACAGGTGAGGCCCCAGCGTCCAGAGCACCTGCTCTAGGGGACAACCAGTAACAGGCAGACAACCACACAAGACAGGCACAATGCAAATACAATGAGCCAATATCAAAATTTAGACAAACTTTCAAGACATATAATTGACTAATTAGTTGTTTAACCCAATGTACTATGATATGGTCCATAGAAGATTTTAATTTAAATAAAATCAGTGCAGCCACCAGGGAGAACCAAAAATTAAAGACATACACACACATGCAGAACTCTGCATTACATTCAACTGGCTTAGAGCTGCTGGCAGAGAGTTTAGAAATTTTCAGGAACGAGGACCGAGACAAACGGTCAGCCATGTCTTCCAACCTCTACTTTCAGGAAAGCTTGTTAAAACCTATTTCCACGAGTTAAATGATACACATCTTCTCACGTAAAAACATTAAGGTTTTGGCAGGTATGGGTCAGCCAAGAAATGGAACTTCGCGATGATCACATGAACAGAAATCAGTCACCATCCACCCAAGCAGCTGCCACCAGTCAAGATGGAGAACACCGCCAGCCAAGGCTCCAATCACAGGGTAAGATCGAAGTCTTACAAAATAAAGAGCGCGGTAACAAGATGAACCCGAGCTACACAGGGAAGGCACACATCAGTCTATTTTCAGCTCAAAGGCCTTCAACAGGGCAAAAGTTGCCACCACCAACTCCACAACTCCACAGACTGGGCGCTAATATAAAGAAGACAGTTAAGGAGTTTCTGTCCTCGGCAGCTTAGACTGCAGACAGAGGACACAGTACTAAGCAATGATTCCCACTTACTAACACTTAGTTGTAAGTCTGTGACCTCCTGGTGTTGGTTTCACCCTGCACCACAGCTGGCAGAGAGGGCAAGGAGCCCAGGGAATGCTGTGGTGGGGCCTCAGGAAGGGAAGTACACATCTCACTTCTCTCTGGACACACGGTTCTAGACCCTCAAGGACCCAGTCCGAGCACAGTGTGTTGTCCCCTCTAAGGCGCTTATACATGAGAGGCCTGGGAGGAAAATGCCACAAAAAACCAACAGCGCCCCAAATACAGGACCTCCACAGAAGGAAACACCCACCTCCCTTACATTTTCATGTCCCCACTGAGGCTTGCTTTCTACAGGACACCGAGAAGAGATGCTCTGAGACCCGTACGTGCTACCCCGTGCACTCGGGGAAGATGACAGGTATCAGGAAGAAGGCAGGCATTTGCTCCGAACCAGAAAACTGAAGCACCAGGAGTGAACCCAGGCCTCCCCACCCGCTGCCCTCCTGGAAGACACACTCATCTGGCCCCTCAAAAGACACAGCTTTGTGGCAATGGCTGCCTTTCTTCCTAACAGGGTAGATGGGACAGGAGAAGCCACAGGACCCAGGGGTGGACTCCCCGAGCCTAGGATCACACAGGCCACTCACCATGGGTGATATTTAACTCGTTGCCAATGGCTAAGCTCCAGACTTTGCCTCTCACGCTGGGAGGGATCCCCTGCCACCATAAATCTCGAACTTTCCTAGAGCACCACCTGGATAAAAACGGAAGCAAAAACGGAGTTCACGAGTCTGTTCTCAGTGAAGAAATGCTTGTCCACCCACGTGCCTAACCCCGAACCACAGAAGTGGGTGTATACAGTCGTATGTCACAGCCCCTGGCCTCAGGCACCCTACAGTCCAGTGGTCCATACAGACCAGGAGACCAAGGCTACCTTCCACCAGGCAACTACTGTGACAGGGGAGGCCAAAGGCACTGCATACCCAGAGACGGGCACCACAAACCATGGGGCCCAGGGCACCATTCTGGAGCCAAATTCTGAGTGACCAGTAGCAATTTAAGCAGATGAAGGATGGGAAGGACTCTGTGAGCAGAAAGCACAGCAACAAGAAATAACCTGGCCTGATACAGGAACCGCAAACAGCTGGGCACAGGGTGGGGCGCCAGGAGGCACTGCCGCACAGCTGCAGGTGAGGGCGGACCCCAAGGGGCCTCGTGAAGTGAGCCCAAGAGCATGGCCGCCAACCGCTGCACTGCTGCACACAGGCAAGGGACTCGGTAGCGAGCTGCCGAAAGCTAACTCAGAACACTCTGAGCTGCCCGAAGTCGTTGAGGTCTGCGGGTCACAACGAGCACACACCGCTAACAGACTGGGACAAACATGTAGGTGCCAAAGACTCCCAACACAGGGCTTCCTGACACAGCACAGTGGGAGGGCATGGGCTGACGCTGCAGGCAGCAGGGCTGCATCCTCACTGCACCCTGACCTGTGGAACTGAAGCAAACTTCTCCTCTCCCTCGGTATCCTTCTCCCTAACACCAAGGTGACGAACCCCCTCACCCTCACGGGGCTGCTGCGAGGGTCAAGTCAGGTAAAGCCCAAGGGCACCTGCCACAGGGCCTGGCGCCAGCGGGGCCATTAAGTGGCAGTTCTCTTACGACTGCCTGCGCTGGATCGCAGCAAGCCTCTGTCAGCGTCGGATGGACCAGGGTGGGGTCTGCAGCCACACAGGGAGACAGTCCAAGGGCTCTGAGGACCTTAACTCTTGTCAGTGAGTTCCGTTCGAGAAAAAGTGTTTCCTGACCACGTCCACCCTGTTAGAGACACTGCCTAGAAAACCAGGCTCCGGGAACAGCCTGTTTTCCTAGTGCAGATGCGCAACAGGGTCACCCAGCCCCGTAATGAGTGAGTGACACCCAGGGAAGCGCTAGAGCAAGTCCCCAACATCCCAACATACAGGTCAGGTTGAAAGGACGAGAGCTAAAAGGAAACTGGCATCCAAGCTCCCCACAGCTCCTGCAGACCGGGGAGCCCCCAAAACAGCCACAAGCCCTTGCACACGGCCTGGGACTGTTGTCCACATGCTAACTGTTCTGGCCACACAGAAAGAAAGATCTACATCTGTCCCTCAGATGTAAAGATGACAGCAGCTGCCAGACTCTACTGGGTACAGGGGGTTGTCACCAAAGCAGACCCAGTGCCCATCCTGAGACAGAGAGCAACAGAAGCTTGAGCAGACGGATACAGTGTACTCAGAGGGGGTCTTCTACAGGCACCTGGAGCCAGGGCGAGGGCAGCAAAGTCTTCTCCAAGGGACTGAACCTTGAAGGACAAAGTGTTAACTGGATGAGGAGTTACAGGACAAGAGCACTCTTAAGTAGAGGGAGTGAGATGTGCAAAGGCCCTGAGGCTCCCTAAGGACAGGGCTCTGTCCAAGCAAAGGAGAGAGGAAGGTGAGGCTACAGAGAAAGGGACGGGCTAGCTCACAAAGGGTCCTGTCAGCTAAGCCAAGCAATTCACATTTCACACTGAGAGTCACAAGTTTCTGAAATTTTAAGTATGGAAGTGACACAGATTCATGCCTTAGAAGACCCCTCTGGCTGCTGAGTAGATCATGAACTAGAAGGTGTGCGGGGTGGGGTGGCTGTCACAGTATGTGGATATGGAACAAGACCAAACCGAGGCAGGGGAAGGAGCCTCTGCACCTTGACCTCATCAGGTAACTCCATCAAAGGTTGTGATGTGATTCACAACTAATGCAGCTGCTTCGCACAGATTCTACCAAGAAGTGATTTACAGCCCAGCGAGCCCACTGTGTCACAGCTTACATTGTTTCCCAGTTAGGCAAAATCTCATTATTCCAGGTAAGGACAGCATTTCCAATACTGTCTTCTAATCTGCATCTTTCTTCCAGCTGCTTTTTCCTCCTCTGGGCTTCTTTCAGCTCTGGAAATCACAAGTAAAAATACGAAGAAAACATCTATTAATTGATGTCCACCAATTTCAAGCTGGGTGGTTCTTCTCAGAGTCATGCTGCATAAAAACCAGGAAAACAGCACTGAAATAGAGCAATGAAACCTGACCTTCCAAGACTCATTTCATATCGTAGGGAATTCAGAATGCTTAGGCATTATTCATCCTTTAGTAAGCTTTTTGTAACATACACACCGTGTAACATGTATACAGAAAAGGACACACACAGGAACACAGCAGGGCTATCACAAAATAGACAAACTCAGGAAACTACCACTGCAGTCAGAAGACAGAACATTAACAGAACACCAGAAGCTTCTCTTGTGCTCCCCCAACCCAATCCCCTTTCCAATGTAACCTCCAACCTCACTTCTGTTTAAGAATAATGCTTAGTGTACAATAGTGACCCTGAGAAATACCATGCATTTTCATTTATATATACTTTTCTAATATTTTTTGTGGTACAATACACAAAACATAAAATTTACCACTTTAAGTGTACATTCAGCAGCATTAAGTATATCCACCCTATTATGCAACCATCACCACCATTCATCCCGGGAATTTTTTCATCTTGGCAAACTCAAACTCTGTCTCCATCAAACACTGAGTTCCCCATTCCCCCTTCCCACAGTCCCTGACAACCTCCACTCTACTTTCTGTCTCTATGAATCTGACTATTTGGGGGACCTCATATAAGCGGAATCATATAGTATTTGTCCTTTTGTGTCTGGCTTATTTCACTGAGAATAATGTCTTCAAGCTTCATGTCGTAGCATGTGTCAGAATTTCATTCCTTTTTAAGGCTGAGTAATATTCCATTGTATGAATGGACCACATTTTGTTCATTATTCATACTTTTTAAACATCCAAGAAGCAAAGGATTTTTAGGTGCTGCAAGGCGCTTTACCAAATCCCACCACATCTTCCTGTAAACAGGAAAAACAGCCCAGAGGAAAGGAGATCTGGCCATCACTACTGGCCGAGGCCGTCTCCAGCTAGGACTTTTACCCTACGCAGTCTCTCTCCTAGAGTAATTCAAAGTGCTATTCTCTTCAGTAAAGCTACCAGGAATGAACAATTAGTAGAAACGTACATTTTTGATGGAAAATTACAAATATCAAGATAGTAAAGCATTCAACAAAGTTCAGGCTCTTGAGCATCAAAATGTAAAAACGAGAAAATATCCAGAGAGACACAAAATCCTGTGCCACCTTATGTAACCAAACACATGTGAACTCCATTACCTCGTTTTTTGGCCTGAACCACCATTTCTTCATACTGTTGCCTGTGTTTCTGAGCCTCTTCAGCTGGCTTCGCCGGGAGATTTCTTAACAGAAAATAAATGATTTTTCACCATTGTAAATATTAAATAAGTGAAATGTGAAGTATCATTACAAAAAAATGAAAAGCTCAAAGACTAAAACCACATTTGTTAGATGACAAAGACGCAGCTCTTTCATAAACCAAAAATATTTTTTACAAAAGTAAAATAAGCTCACTTAAAAAAATCTGAAGTATGAAGATTAGCAGAAGGAAGAAAATAGCAATTACCCCTAATTCCAACAGAGATAAACACTTAACTTGTGGGTGTTTCCCCCCTTCAGTCTCCTAAGAAACTCTGCTGCAACCACAGCGCACTGATAATCATCAGCAGAGCACCCGAATGGCAAGCACCACATATACGTATGAATACATTCCCTGGCCAGTTTCTCAAGGGTGCAAGTACCTGCTACGTGGTTCATTTCTTTTCTTTAATATATATATACAGATTTATACAATAGTTCTGACATCTAAACGTAGTGTGCAGCTTCGGATCCTGTTTGGAAAAATTAAGTGCATGCTCTCTTTCAGAAATGTGCTGGGGAATTTGCCAGGCCCTTGGAAAGGGGGAGGGTGGCCATGTCCGGCTGTTTGTGCCCCGGGCTATCTGGACGACTGTCCTGGCTGCAGGAGGACAGGGCACGGTTTCCCACAGCCTACGTTTTGGAGCGCTTTACAAGGACTGGTCCTCACAGTGCGCTGGATTTTACCCACAGCCTCTACCTACCTTTTTAATCCTCCATTTCTGGGTTTCTCTTCCCAACTACCCACAAGCCCGCAATTTCCAAGGACCAAAAATTATTATCAAAAGAAACATTTCCTCTTTAGATTTCACCAATATTAAATGTCAGGGTTGGCAGGGGCCTTAGGAATTCCAGCCTAAGGTTTTATAATCTCTCTCTTTTTGAAAAGCTGTGGAATCTTTCTATTCAAACGTAATGTTCTACGGAAACTCAATACTTAAACAGAGATAAGCTATGGCCTGGTACAATGGAACAATCCCTCTACTCCACTAAGGTCTCCAAACACAATCATCAAAGTCCACGTCCTCATCAGATCCATGGAAACCCAGATGCCCAGAGGGAGAGGGGACTTGCTGAGATCAGCCAGCCACACTGCAGATCCCAAAGCAGCAGCAGGCTAGTCCAGGGACTGTCCTGTAGTACTGAGGTGCCTCCAAAGTGCCCAGCTTAGAGATACCTCCTGGTGTGTGTTTCTTACAGTTACCAGCCAGTCTATAATTAATAACAGCTCCCTAAGTATTTGTGAATGCTAAATTAAAATGAAAAATCACCTGAATGGAAAATCCTGGTCAAAACTTCTACTTAAGGCAAGTTTTCCAAATTAGCCATTTGGTATCATCTAGAACACACATCAGCACAGGGAAGGACGAGGGCCCCGCAGTGGGGACAGGCTGACCCCTCTTCCCCTCATGAGCGTCCTTTTCTAATGAGGAGGTGATGAGCTAAGATGCTTCTCCCCCAAAGCAAACCCTCTATAGACGCCTCCTCACTCACGCTGGCCTGTCTTCCAAGATGAGCGCGGTGGTGGAAAGTGGCTCGAAATCAAGATTCTTCCTCACATTCTGCTTTGGAGAGGGTGGCCTGCTAGGTCGTCCAGCCTTGTCATCATATTCCTAGGACAAAGAAAGCAGGGATGATTCCAGGCCCAGCCAATTCTGATATTACGGCGCACTTCTGAAAGTGGAAAAAAGTTGTTTTGTTATGACGTCCTTTAAGCCAATTTTGAGGATGAGGCACTGAAATATTTCATGCCCTTCAGAAGGAAAAACGACCAGTGAAGGGAGTCCTACAGCTCCACAGCCCAGACCATCACTGTGTGAGGACCGAGGGCCTCCCACATTGGTAGGGAAGTCACTAAAGACCTCATCAACCCAGCTGCCCCTTTATAAGGGCGCACAAACATCATCTCAGGTCTCCAATGGTCCTTCCAGTAAGAGGTGTGTTTTCTGTCTTCTGGACACTGTAAATTTTAACTGATTATTGCAGTGGCCACTGGGAAGCTCAGAGCCTGAGTGACAGTCAATTGTAGCATTCATCTGACCCCCTGGCTTTATCTCATATACGCACTCTCATTCTAACTTTCTAATGCATTTCCTTTTATCCCACAACATTTTATATATTTTTGTTAGCCCTTTAAATCTTGTCTGAAATGAGGAAGGGGTTGAAAACTTTTTGCTTGAAAATGATTAAAGCTGTTCAATTTCCTTAAACCAGAAACTTTAAAAAAGAAATTCTTTAATATCCTTCTATGAAGCCATCACTGCAAGCTCTTGCATAAATAATCATGCCATGCCCTGGAACTCTAAGAGCAGCCTCCGTACTACTGGCCACTAATTTCTCCTATGGACTGCAACCACAAACCCTCGGTCACACCTGGTGACCCACATTCCAAACACCCAACCAGCAGAGTCCAGGAGAGCCAAGCAACCTGTGCCAAAGAGTCCAGTTTCTGAAATTGTGTGCGGGGAGCTGTGTGTGGCTGTGCGTACACCCTCAGCCCTTGGCAAAAATAAAAAACCCAGTATTTTCCTGTTGCTTATTACCAAGACTCAGGACCCCTCCTAAGGCAAGGCGACCTAACTGGGAAGACAGGACAGACAAATGAGCAGTTATCCTCCGATTTAAATAACCATTCCAGATACGATATAAGCAGTATCAGGGTGGAAGTGATGAATCGCTAAATGGATTTTATTGACACCAGTTGTCGAGAGAGATGTTACTGGCAAGATGATTCGGCAAGCAATTATTTTCTCAGTCGGAGAAGCTTATCTAGGCTTCTAAGAAGTTAAAAGGAAAAATTATTTCTTCAAAATCCACAGGCTGTGAGAAGGGAGTGCACCGAGAAACAGGCGGGTGGGGCAGTTTCTGTACATCCGGACGTACAAGGTTAGCTGTCTTAACGTTGTTTACCCTGACATAAAATGGTTCCATTAACACTAAAATGACCTCCACTTACCCAAGGCTGAGAAGATGGACTCCCTTTTTCATCCATTCTTACATCTGAGCACCTGCATGCGCCAGGCACTCAGCTGCAACTCAATATGGAACCAAGCGGCCATCAGGAAGTGTCACATCTAGTACCTGGAGGTAAACTCTTAAATTTTATAGGGAATCTCCCAAAAAGTTGTGTGCTGAGAAAGCCTGAGGCACACTGCATTTTAACAAGAATTGGTAGTGAATGTCCTGTAAGGCGCTACTTCCAGCTGACTCCGTTCTAATGAGCTACATGCCAAGACCAAAGATGCTGAGCCCCCAAGGCAGGTGCCCCAGAGTGTGATGTCTGTTCCCACTTGCTCTTGTGTGCTTTACACACTTCATCTCATTTTATTTCCACTACAACCTCCGTGGCAAGTGTCACCGGATTCTACAGGAAGGGTCACTGAGGTTCAGAGTGAAGTGACTTGCCCCCAAGTACACAGTCAGCAAGGAGCTGGGCCTGCAGGACTCCCCACTCTGCCACTCCGAGCAGGCCCGCCCTGCTCCCCACCCACCCCCCGCAGATACACTCAAACAGGTGTGCAACTCTACAGGGAAAAGGCCGAGTCCTACACAGGCTGAGTGAGGCCTATGGAGCCAGACAGGTCTGGGAGCAAATTCAGAACCACCAAGAACCAGCTGCGACCTCCACCAAAGCACTGGCTTAGAAAACCCCTGCGCCGCATTTCCGCACCTGCAGGAGGGGAACAGCACTACCAGGGAGGGCTGTCTAAGGAGCAGCCGGGGCCTGGGAAGCGGTCAGCGTGGCCTGTGGGCCCAGGACGTGCTCTGCACAGGGTGGCCCTGCTTCCCCTAGACCTGAAACAACTGTGCAAGGCAGAAAAAACACTTTAGGGCCAAACAACCATCAAGGGGCCCTGGGAAGTCTGTAAATTGCACAGATAGGAAAAGGAGGAGCAATCTTAATTAAATGCCTTGATTTGTGATTTAAAAGCAGTCTCTTCAGTTAGAGCTCAGAGGGTCAGGGCCAAGCACTTTCTGAGGGCTTTACACACACCAAGCAGGCTCAGCTTCCCCTTTACACCGGCCCTCCCAGGGAGGAGCCGCTATCGTCCCCACTTCCCCAGGGCGCAGACCACCGGGAAGGCGGAGGCCAGGCTGGGGCTGGAGGAGCTGGACCAGAAGCCAAGCACCCGAGCTCTGCAGCCACACTGCTCCCCGTAGGCTCACTGGAACTCCTGAACCAGACTAATTCCATCATTCATACTCAAGTCCAAACAAAGCTTTAACTATGACACAAACCTGTAATAGTGAATTAAGTGCAGATGCAGGGCAAATGCTTATGTTTTAATCACATAGAGCACTGCATGATTAAAAAAAAAAATTAAAGGAGACCTGGCCTGCCCATACTTGAAATCCCAAGAAAAGCCTTTTCAAAATTGTAAATGGCATTTCAGAACGTGAATGGCACTGGAAACTGTTACAGGTCCTACTCCAGAGGTGTCCTCAAAGAGCTAGCCAGAGGGCTCAGCACGGAGCTCGTCTTCTAGACCAGACAAACCGACTTCAGGAACAAGAGAGGACTTATTCACTCTAAGGATCCTCTTTTTCCAGGGCAGTGGGGCACAGGTGGATAGTACAGTGACGGATAAGAAGTCTCTGTAAAAACAACTTTCAGCTGTGAATGAATGATCAACACTGGGGTCCACGTGTGATGTGGCAGGAGCTGGGGCTTTGGATCAAAAAGACTTAGTTCTAAGTCCTAGCTCTGATCCGAGGCAAGCCATCTTGCCTCTCTCTCTGCTATAAAACGGGAGGAAGGGCAAAGACTCCCGTGATTATGCGACACGCCGTAACTGCCCATAAAGCGCGAGTCTTTCCTTCCTGGGTGTCAGGCCAGCGGCAGCCCGGTCCTAGCCGCAGTACAACTCATTGTTTTCTCAGGACCCTCCTGGGATCAAGTTTGGAAGTCTCTTGGTTTAAACCAAGTAACACTACCATTCACTGCTGTGCTCACCAGAAGCCCTGCGTGCGGGCTAATCAGTATAAACTGCCCGCTCAAGCCTCTGCTGCATATCCCAACACCCTGCATAACCTCACAGGGAACTTAGAACAGGGCCCTTCCAAGTTCTCCTGGCAAATCGGTTCACATGGTCATGACAGCATTGTTTTTTTTTTCAATCAAACAATAAAAAAACAGAGTTTACACAGGAAAGAGTTTGTCTCAGTTCTATACCTAGTTACAGCTGCGCCTTTATGAGCACTGTCTCAACCTAAATTGTCCAACACTGGGGATGGGAGTTGGGGGGCTGTGTTAAAAACACTTTGGAGGCCACTAATTTAGAACAGGTCACAGTCCCTGCCCAGAGTAGTTTATCTCGTATCCTGTTGGGAAGATAAGACCAACAGCAGAGAGACAGCAACAAACAAACCTACTGAACCCAACCAGGGGCTAAGCTGTTGGGTGTGGGCTTTTAGGAAAAAGCAGTAAGCAAGCAGTAAGCCAGGGCAGCTGAACAGTCTCAGCTCCACCTGAGGGAAAGGACCTCATTTGTGAAGCAGCCACCTGGGGCCTGGCACTTTAGGAGAACTGCAGACCCCAGCCTTGAAGGGCTCACTGAAGTAGGGGCAGTAAGATGCCAGCAGAGGCCATGAGACCAAGTTAGATAATGAAAAATGCCACAAGAGGGCAAGCCACATGCTGCAGGGGCCCCAGGGACAGGACGCCTAATGGCTGGAGGGAATCACAGAAAGCATCTCATAAAGGGTGCCATCCGAGCAGATAAAGGACAGGGGAGGTCTGCGCTGGAACCATGAGGGAGAGGCACCCTGACAGTACAAGTAGCAGCCAAGAGATGACGGTGGGCAGGCCTGTTTGTGGGTTAGCAGGAGCACTTTAAATAGGGAATGATGCTGAGCCAAAGCCTTTTGGTCCTAGATTTTATGGTCTCAATAACAAGCCACCCAGTGCTAGTGGGACAAGCCAAGAGCGAGTGGGAGTTGGGGACAGGGAGATTTAGTGCAGAGCCAGAAAGTAAACAGTGTGAGGTGTGATGAGCCCTGAGACACATCCGATGGCAAGCGCTGTCTCGTGTGCATGATCTGAACAGTGCTGAAGATGAGGATACGGCATCAGATCCTAAATTAAGCGGAAGATCTGCCAGTTAAAAAAGAAAAAAAAGAAGCCTACCTCGACAGACATTTGTTTAAGAGGAAGAGAAAAGATCAAGATGCTCAAACAGTGAAAAGGAAGACTTCCTGGTAAGACGACAAGAGAGGTGTCAGGGCTACGTCCAGAAATGGAAGAGTGTTGTAAGAGATAACCAACTACACCCAAATGTGGCCAGCAACGCCCCCTGGCTTCCTGGGAATCTGTGCCAGCTACAAGGAGAAAGGGTCATCAGTGAAAACCTGTGCTTAAGCCTTTGACTCAACAGCATCAAGATTAGCCTGTTAAAATAACCAGAGGGTTTTAGAGGTACGTCTGGAATAAAGCATGGCAGGTCACCACGTGATACTTATTAAAAGACTGACAGGAATCAATTTGAGTGACAACACAGCAACCACATGGGCCCAGGTTGAAGACCCTGCAGGGGAAGCACTGGGGGCTGGCAGCAGGCCTGGGTCTAACCATCACCTCCAGACAATCAACACCAGCAGCATGACCCTGAGGTCA